ATTCCGAATTTCATACGCGGCCCAACCGGCCACTTATCCAGTCGAAAGATTGCGGGGGAACACACTAACTGGTTTCCCTAGTTAGCGACTTCTGGGCTACGGAATTTTTGGTCGGCTGCACGCTTTCGGAAACCACCACCCAGTTATTCTCAACGGTGGACTCCGTCCGCTTCAACACCCAAGTGCCCTCCGTCCAGAATGTCCCGAACGCGAAGCACACCGCGCCACCGCCCAGAATAACGAGCTGGTCTGGACTAACAGCATGAGCGGCGTGGCCAGTCAAAAGCGGACGCGGTCCGTCAAAGTTCTTCCCAAGCCCAATTTCCAAGATAAAGTTGCCATTCCAATCATCTCCTGAATCCACGCATTTGAGAAGCTCTTTGAAGTCAAGAAGCAGAATCTCTTTGTCCAAGGGGACGATCTGGCGAGGCATGATGCCTCCGGCGACAACGAGTCCCCATGGGGTGCGATTCGCGGTGGCTCCAAAGCGGGTCGTGTATTTGAGCAGAGGCTCGTTTTGCAGGGCGTAGGTCAGGTCATTGAAATGCAGAGAGTATTTTCCATCTTTCTGTTGATGGAAGGTCCATGTCCATATGTCCTCTATGATCGTGTTGTCTTTTCCAATTCCTCCGAGGAGAATGCCTGTCTCTGAGCGACCTTCGAAGACCCCCTTGTTCGTCTGGGTCTCGAGGAATTCCAGGCACGCCCCAAATCGAGCAGGGGGCTTTTTGCCGAATGTTTCGACTGTTTGCCAGACGTTTCCGTTCTCGCTCCACAGAATCCATGAGTTCAATATTTGGCCGTTGCTGGTTTTTCCTCCGTAGATGAGCACGCCCTCCGAGTTATTTGGTAGAGTCACCTTCACTGCGGAGTGTCTAAAGCGAGGCTCTGGAAGGCTATGAGTCGGTTGCCATTGCCCTCCCTTCCTCAGCCAGCAATCTTGAAAAGCGGCCGCTGGCGAGGCTCTACCTCCCGCCAGCAGACAGTCATCACCAGCTAGAGACGTCGCTGTATGACACATTCGTGCGGGGATATCACTTGGTAGGAAGGGTTGACTTGGTCTTGTAACCGCTTTGGACTTCCCGTACAGGGTCGTCGATGTCAGCCGCGCCTGGCGACCTAGTCCCCCATGATAGCCCAGGGTATGGTCAGTGTCCGGAACGATTGCGCCATATCTCCGCTGGTCACTTCCTTGTGGACAATGAGAAAGTAGCGTGAAGTCAGGAGACACGCATGGACAGGTGACCTCATATTCAGGATCATGATCTGAGGTTGGTTTTCTTGTAGAAGCGTGTAGGAGGAAGTAGTGTGATGCGTAGAGCGCGAACTCTTCCCATTCGTCAAACGACTCGACCTTGTATAGTGAGGCCCTGGTTGAGCTACTCAAGAAGTCATCATCCGACCATAGGTCCCATAGACTTCTGGCCTGCGCTTGCGTCCAACCGGCATTCTTGAACCGCTGTTCTTGTTCGCGTAGCGAGGGATATTTGTGGATAGAGTACAATGGCGCTCCGACTTTGTTGAAATGCTTCATCATCTTCGATGCAAAGGGATGCTCTGGTCCGTCGGGGAAGAACTGCTCCAAGATGCAAAATTGGGCGTCTTTGGTCTCCTGTTAGCCAGTTTCCTGGAATGAATTTGAGAAATGGCATGATGTCCTGACCAGCACTTAGCTTAGAGCCCCAGTTGACGACCGCATTCGCGGATTCGACGTCCATATATGTGAGAGAAACTTCGGCCAGATATAGAACCGAACACTCAGCAGGAAGCACCTCATTGCGCAATGTCTCGTCCAGCTTCTTGATATTCTTCAGATCGCAGCCTATCGCCAGATAGTGGTCGCTGCGGATTTGAACGGCTTTGTCATCTGGAAAGAACTCTACATTGTCGAGCAGGTCTGTAATCTCGCTGGTCCGCTGAATTGCCGTCTTCTTATTGACCATGAGCTTCTCATAGTCGATATCCACGAACGTCGTATCTCTACACAGGGGCTTTTCGGCGCTGAGCATCATAAAGGGAAGCGGGTCACTACGAAAGCCCAGCTCTTAGTATACTCTTTCTCCCCTGAAAGCTATATTGCCTACGACTCACAATCCACATCCAAGGCTCAAGACAAATTTCGGCTTATCTGATGGTTCACGCATGAAGCGGCGCACGGATTCGGCCATGGTGTACATGCGCAACCAATATCCCCGGTTGATGAGCGGTGCCCGTCGTTGGGGTTTCTTGACGAAGTAGCGGAAGAAATGGGGCTTGGGGTAATATAACATCTCGACGCTTCGTTTCGACACAATGCTGCTATTGTTTGTCTAGATAGGTTATTCCGCAAACCATTAGCCTGCATTCTTCGAATTCCTTCCAGAAGGAAAAGCACATACCCCCATCACCAAGTCAGCCTCCTTCTCAGCCTTGGCGCTGACAGCAGGCACGGCATTTTTCTTGCTGGGCGCCATGATCAGTGCCTTCAAAGCCGTTCAGATCGTAAAAGAAATCGCAATCTATACTCCGTCAAGTCATTGTGGGCGCAAAAACTCCGCCGAGAATCAAGATGTGGCCCAAGCGTCGCGTCTCGGTTGGCGCGGCTAATAGACGCCAGACGACGGCCGGAAGAACTGCGGTTCAGCGATCCCCCGGACCCTCCGACGACAGACATCTCTCTCGCTATACTCTGATTCAACAACCTATTTGTATGTTTTGATGCTGGAGGATTTTGCGCGTTATTTTTGATCAGATGGACCAGGATATGCGACGCGACGATACTCTTTGACTAGGAACAACGCGACGGGAATATCTCTTTGAGACCCCTCCTTTATTATCGTCGTCACCGTCACCATAGTCGTCACTATCTATCATCCCGATCTGAGACCGCGGGGAGCTTATAGCTTGCAAGCTATTCATACACACAGTGAATAGTTCAATAGTGCGACTGAATACCCTCTTAGCAGGACGATTTCATCCCTTTTTTCCCTTCTTTTCTTTTTTTTTCTTTTTTTTTTTTTTTTTGTTCCCGTCAACCCTCGCCCATCCATCAAGATGGAAATGAATTTCGTGACATTCAATCAGGACTACAGCTACCTGGCTGTTGGTAAGAAACCCGACAATCCATGCGCAATATAGACCATACCTTGACCTCTCGAAGCAACGTCCAAAGGGTTTCGGATATTCACGACAGACCCCTTCGCTAAGAGCCATGAGACGAAGGAAGGGAATATTGCCATCATTGAGATGCTCTTCTCGACGTCTCTAGTGGCTTTGATTCTGTCGCCTCGTCGTCTTCAGATCACTAATACAAAGGTTCGTAGGACTCCCCAGGTGGGCATACATAGATTTTCTTGTTATTATGATTAAGAATATGGGAAAGCGATTGAATTATCAGTTGCGCTCGTTTACGAAACATTATGTTAACTCTTTCCCTTGTTCATCTCATAGCGCCAATCCACAATATGCGAATTGACATTCCCGACTACCGTGCTTGCGGTCAAGCTGAATCGGAAACGACTGGTGATCGTGCTAGAAGATCAGATCTATCTCTACGATATTCAGACCATGAAGCTGCTGAACACCATCGCAACCTCTCCAAACCCCAACGGTAAGGGATCTTCAATATCTACACGAGTAATGTATCTGGTTCCTAATAAGAAACAGTTATTTGCGCCCTGTCACCCTCCTCGGACAACTGCTACCTCGCATACCCTCTTCCACAGAAAGCACCCCCTTCGTCGTTTCAACCGCCAGCTCATGCGCCACCCGGAAGCACACATGTCTCGCCAACAAGCGGCGAAGTTTTAATATTCGACACCCTCAAACTTGAGGCGATCAACGTCGTGGAAGCGCACCGATCTCCATTAGCATGCATCACGCTCAATAGCGACGGGACACTACTCGCGACGGCTTCGGATAAAGGAACTATTATTCGAGTCTTTTCGGTACCCGATGGTCACAAGCTCTACCAATTCCGACGAGGCTCAATGCCCTCCAGAATCTACAGCATGTCTTTCAATACCACATCCACCTTACTCTGCGTGTCATCGTCGACTGAAACAATCCATATCTTCAAATTGAGCCCTCAAAGTCAGGCTCCAGAAGACACCCCCTATTCACCGGGAGGCTACGACAGGGCGTCATTCAGTCAAAGCTCTACACTATCTCCCGAATCCGATGACCTAAGCGACGAACGAAGATCATCTGATTTCGCTTCTAGGAAACACAATGGGACACTGATGGGAATGTTACGGCGGACGTCACAAAGCGTGGGAAGCTCCGTCGCGGCGAAGGTCGGGGGATATCTCCCGAAAGGCGTTAGTGAAATGTGGGAACCAGCACGCGATTTTGCTTGGATCAAATTACCAAAGCCCAACCAAGGCCCCGGGGCGGCAGCCAGTTCCGGTCCGCTGAAGAGCGTGGTCGCCATGAGCAGCAACACGCCTCAGGTGATGGTCGTAACTAGTGACGGCAACTTCTACGTCTTCAACATCGATTTATCGAAAGGGGGAGAGGGAACCCTGACGAAGCAGTACTCGTAAGTTGCCCGTGTCTCTTGAGCGTTTGCATTGCTGATTGTATACTCATAGGGTACTCGATTCGAACGACAGGCTAGGATATTCTGTGATGGACTACTAGCGTCAGATCGGCTGATCAGCGTAGCGCGTTTTGTTTCTTTTCTTTTCTTTCTCTTTTTTTTTACATTATATATACCATTTGCTTTTCAATGTTCATCTTTCCTTCCTAGGCGTCAATTTCTTTTTGGCGGTGGCCGTTGTGCTATTCTTGAGTTCCTTTTCGATTTATTTAAACTGCATCAGTTTTTTTCTTTTCAACTCCTTCAGACTGCATGGCTTTGACATCGAATCTATACCTCACTGGGTGAAAATGAAGCGTTGGTCATTAGCCCTGATTTGTTGTCCATAGCCGAATGAATATATTTCCGCGCGAGCGTGATGCGTAACAAATCCTTCCACCAAAAGTCTCTATTCTCAATTACATATCACCATATCACATACAACTAGAACAAATATCGACTGGGTTTAATTACTTCCACGAAACCCAGTGAAAATATTAGGAAATTGCCTGAAAGTCACGTGGCGGGGTCGCAAAAAATCGCAACGCCTGATTGAATCGATATACAACCAACTCTGCGACTTAAAAATTGATACAAATCACAAAATCCGACTCGCAGCAATGGAATCCCAAGAAAATAATCACAACGATCGCGGAAAAGTCAGACCAAAACCCGACCAAAAACGCCCCAAAAAATACACCCACCCCCTCCAAAAAGGCATCCGCGACTTCGTAACAAAACACCTCCCACCATCCCACCTCCCAGACTACAACCTCTCCCTAGAAACCCTCGTGGAAGCTCTCCCAAAACGCTACACAGTATACCAACCCCTCCTCCTCCTCCCGCCAAATGCCCTCACCACACCACCAGCATGGGGCGCGCTCTACGCAGCCCTTAACGATGCACAACGAGCTGCGCTGTTTGAATCGGTAGTGGCTAATTTTCGGACTATGGGCGTTACGCATGTTGCTATGAACGCGCCTATTGCACTGACTCATCCGCAGGGGCAGGAGAATCGGATTAGAAGTCCTGTGGGATTGGTTCCGCTGTATGGGGATTTTGGGACTGCGCCGTCTGTGTCTGTTGATGGGGATGCGGCTAATGCGCACCCGTCTGAGGTTGACCTGCAAAATGCGTTGTGGGTGCATACGGTGCAGAACCAGGGGATTGTGCAGACCTGGGCGCCTTTGTATACGATGTTCTCGAGGGGGAATATTACCGAGAAGGCGAGGGTCTTGGGGCATGCGGGTGTATTTGAGGGATTGGATGAGGAGTCTTTAGCTGGCGAGGGGGTTGGGGATGTTGGTGTTGTCGATATGTATGCTGGGATTGGGTATTTTGTGTTTTCGTACTTGAAGAGGGGGGTTAAGAGGGTTTGGGGGTGGGAGATTAATGGGTGGTCAATTGAGGGGCTACGACGAGGTTGTGTTGCGAATGGATGGGGGTGCAGGGTTGTTAATCTGCGGGATGATGGGGGATTGGTGAACGGGTCTATTCCAGAGCTTGTTGACAGTCTGGATGATGACACGAGGGTGGTTATATTCCATGGTGACAACCAGTTTGCGGCTGGTATATTGGACCAGATTCGAGATATCATGGCGTCCAGGAAGAGCTGGAATAGCATCAGACATGTCAACTTGGGGCTGCTTCCTTCGTCTCGTGATTCTTGGGACAACGCTACCAAGATGATTGATATGGACAAGGGAGGCTGGGTCCATGTCCATGAGAACGTTGATGTTCGGGAGATCGACAAGATGCAGGACGATATTGTCGCTGAGATTGGACGACTACGATCCCAGAACTGCGCTGATCCGAATCCTGCTGATCACAACATTGACTGTCAACATGTTGAGCGTGTGAAGACGTACGCGCCGGGTGTTATGCACTGCGTTTTTGATATTAGATTATCAGTTAGTCAATGAGCATCCGCTGGCAAACCATCTGATTAACCCTTAATACCGAACATGACAGAAGCAAAGCTGTTTCAACTACTATAGACCTCAAACTGTACTTGTACGAAAAAAATGAATTAAAATAAAGAAAATGATGGCATTCTCTTTTTTATAGTTTCTGCTTGCTAAAGCATTATCCTTTCTCCTCTCTCCTCCATTCAATTTACACCTACACCGACAATAAGTGAAAGACAACAAAGCCCCCTATTTCTACTGTACGATTTGGCCATTGTAACCCTAGCTCCTGGGAAAAATGCAAAAAGCACAGAAGCAACAATCACCGGCAAAAAACTACCCAGTTCGCCCAAGCCAGCAAACTCAGGCGGAATCTGCGCCCTGACAAATGCACCAGCACCAAGCAAGATAGCAAACAGATTGTAGACGAAGCTCCACGCAAAGTTGAACTTGATCCGGTTAGACGCATTCTTGCTTAAAGTTATGGCAGTGAGAACTCCAGCTAGGCTGGGACGCGTGAGGACAACATCAGCAGCGGACTTGGCGACGCCAGTACCTTCGTTCATGTGCACGCCAATTGTGGCTTGAGCTAAAGCGACTGCGTCGTTGGTCCCGTTACTGCAGAACATGACGATTGGTTTCTTGGGCTTGTCGCTAGGGCTTGTCTAAGAGAGGAGATCCTGAATATATGTCCGCTTACTAGCAGGGTCGCAGTGAGAGCGGGTATTCGAATCAGGGATATTTAAGGATGTTGCCACGGAGCGGACAACACCATCGTCATCGCCCGAGACAATGTGGACTGAAATGCCACGTTCATGTAGAGATTTAACAGTTGAAGCAGTGTCAGGACGGAGCGCGTCTTCAAGGGTAAAAATGGCTGTGAGTGAGTCATTGATGGTGAAACAGAAAGCTGTATATCCTTGAGCAAGAACGGACTGTACATTTGGATTGGAGGGGAAGTTCAGCCAGCGAGAATTGCCTGCACGAAGAGTAAGACCTGAAGCAGTGCCCTCGACGATTTTTTCTGTCAATGTCTTTTGATCAGACACTGCCGAGGCAGAAACGCCCTGTGTGCTGAGATGTGCGGGCTATAGAAGCGGAAATTGGATGCTTAATGCCACTGACCAAGCCAAGGAGCAACGACTTAGCTGACTCTGGATCGTCTGTTTTATACACTTCTCGAACGACTGAGGGCTTCCCCTGAGTTAGTGTACCTGTCTTATCGAAGACAACATGAGATGTCTTGTAGGCGACCTCAATGTCATCTGCAGATTTAAAGATAACTCCTCGCTTAGCGGCAACGCCACTCGCAATCACAATAACCATAGGAACGGCAAGACTAATGGCGCAGGAACAAGGACTGATGATGGATAATGCCACCCAAGGGTTCATTCCTATTATGCATGAAGAAATTATTTATAATGGCCCGGAAAGCTGATCAAAGAGTCCCGGGATGTAGGGATTTCTGAATGCAGTGCATGTGATAGGTAACGCTCCCACGGTCCGTTTTGTATCTCTCACTTCAGTGTGTCCAATAACGTACTAAGAGCTTGCTTCGATTTTTTATTCCAGTCGCTCTCCTGTATCGCTGTAGAATGGAAACTTGGGTGCATCGTTGACGATTGGACATCGTCGAGAAGCAGCTTCTTGAATTTGATATCAAAATAATTCTCAACCCGGGGAAACGACGTTTTGTCAGACAGCACATCAAGGGCCTTCGTCATAAAGACTTTCTTCCTGAAATAATCGATAACCGCCCGCAACTCTGGACAGTCACTCAACACAGCTATATGAAGCGAGTTCCCATACCTGCTAGCGTGCTTCAAAACAGACCCCATATTCTTGAGTCCAGGGTAAGCCAGCACGGATTTGACGAACTCGTCGTTTTCGCTCTTGATTGCAAGTTGCAGAGGATTGAGATCGTCACCCCCCTTCTCCAAAAGCGCATAATAATCCTTCAGCAGCCATCCCAGAAACCCATCAACCTTTTCCTGCAACCATTTGGATTCCGCCAATTTATGAAGCACATTTGTGCCTCCCTTGGCTGATGCCGCCTTCACGAACGTTTCATTGTACTGCGATTTGAAACTATCGGCCTCTTGCTTGTTTCTGAAATCGACTTCTGCCGCACGTTCCAGGATGCGAGTGGGGTTATCAATCGTCGGAACATCCTCGTTGAATCGGTTCCTTCGCTGCTGTTGCTTTCGGGCTGAGGTGTTTTTGTCTTTCTTTTTCTCTTTGTCGTCTTTGGGTTTCACGATCGATGACATACTGGCTACTGCAAATGTATGCAAAGCGAATCGGGGGAGGATTTCACGAGGATCCCACTGACCTTGGAGCTTGACCGTGGAGATAAACCATTGACTGGATGGCGCAGTGTTATGATTAGAAAGTTTTGGGAAGGTGAGAAAGGAATGCCATGTCCGTGACAATATCTACATCTAATCGATGGCGGAAAATACTAATGACAAATGATTCATGTACTAACTAGTTAGTTAGTTAACTAGGATGACCCGGCTGTTTCTATGAATACAGGCAGTGCTGGGTGCAAGGTATCGGCGAATTTTGGGGATGATCCGGGCATTGAGTTTCTATTCAAGGGACCTTTTGATGCACCTGAAACCTTTGAGCCTGTTTCTTTAGAGGAGTCAGATACGGAGTAGTGTTGGGGTCTTGGAGGCTCAGGAAGCAACGTCATAAACCATAGTCCGGCCAACGCACCATTCCTTTTGGTGGCAGCTGTCCTGTCAAAAGCAGTCTCGAAGGAATTGAAGCTAGCTAAGTCTTGGTGGTGCAAGCAGATGCATGACCGTCAGGAAGGCACCAGACCGTAGAGAAAGGTCTTCTCTGGAAAGGTATACAGATTAGTGATCGCTGGGTCATCCTTTCGAATAGAGGAAATCAACTTATAATGCTCTGTATAGTTTGAATATTCGATATTGCGCTTTAGATGGCCTGCCAGCAGATGCTCATGAATTGAGAGACCTGCGACGGTGAATATAGGCATTGTGGAAAAGGTCCCCGTCGCATTGATGATGCCATCTCCTAGTTGAGAGGGTAAAGGGCAATGACGAAAAGCACTAGAAGAGAAATTGGACAGCGTGGTGCGTTTTATTGAGGTTCCCTTATTCAGGCCACTCACCCCTCTGCTCAGCCCCTGCTCAGTGATCAGTTCAGTGATCAACTTAGGGCACTCAGAGCGTGCTCACAGTGAGCAAAAAGCGGCGAGGGGTGAGCACCAAACCGGAAAGAGAATGCCTTCAAGCTGTCTACAAAATCCGGTACATATGGGTACATATCTACATCAACGAGGACAAAAGCAAGCCATGCATCCTAAGACTACTACTGTCTAAGGAACTTCTGCGGTATGTTCGCCTGCACAATTGGCATCCTCTCAAGCTGCTCCAACCGGTCAGCAGCATCCTCCAGCTGATCATGTTGCCGGAAGTGTTCAATATCCTCCGGATGCGTGAGTTCTTCCTCCGTCGCATCATCCCCGTGGAACTGCTCAAAGTGATGAATCTCATATTCGTATTCGATATCCCCATGGTGCCCAGGTCCATATCCGAGATCCGGTAACCGCACTCCCGACGAGATAAGACGCATCCAGTCATCACGAGTGATTATACCTGTCCTCCCAGGATCGAAGAGAGAGAACACCTCCCTAACGGCTTGTTGCTTTTGTTCCTCGGTCACGCCAGCATTTGATTGATCGTCGAGACCGTATGTTTTGCGCACTTCGTCGGCTGTCCACATCCCAGAGGAATCGTAGTCGTGGAGGGTGAAGAAGGAACCGGCATCGAAGGAATCAATGTGATGCTCCTCTGCTTAGGGGTTAGCACGAAGGTTTTGTAGATCAAGAAATCTGGGGGATCTCCAATTAAGTCGATCCTCACCCTGCATATGACGAGTCGCCCAGTCTGAAGACGGGCTCTCGTTCGAATGGGAGCCATGTGCACTGGCAAGCCCGGCCAGGGCGAGCAGCACAGTAGCAAGGCCGAGTGATTGAGCACGCATACTATCCAACAGCGTTCAGTTTTTGCGAATAGTGAGAAGAGCGATGCAGCGCAGGATATCAACCTATTGAATATCACACAGAATAGTATTGCTGTAAACAATTGGAGACAAAATGGTTCCCCTGGCAGATAACGCTTAGTTGGTCCCTTTCGGGGGTTGTTTGCAATGTTTGCAGCAGATCATCCGGTCACTCTTAGAAATTCCTCTCGTCCCGCACACATTATTCCATGGCTGTCTTCTCCGATTGTTGACCGGTTTTCTTTATTGAAGGGCAATTGATCTTTTAATATCATCTCCCGGGATTGCCTGTCTCTTGTTTATCAATCCGAATAAAGAAACCCCCGGTCCCGGCCAGAAATGTCGAGATAATGCAAAGGCTCTGGTCTCGCGCAGCTCCGGCGACGACCTGCCGTCAAGTCACCCAACCGAACGCCGCTGTGGTTGGTGTCACCCGAGGGGCAACAGCGGCAAGTAAACGACGACTTCGTTTCGCCAATTCGTTCACCGCATTCTACTCGAGCATTTTCGCTGCCGCCGCTCTCGCCGATGCGCAGGTCAAGGATAAACGTCGGGTGGAGTGGGAGGAGAGGATAGCCGCTGTGAAGGAGGAGGTCGATGTGTTGGTGGGAGAGGAGCAGCGACTTATATCGGCGCTCGAGTCGCGGAAAGGGCGTCGGGTGGTTGGTGGGACGACAATTCAATCTCGACCGTACAGCACGACGGTTCCCCGCTTCAGCATAGATTTGGATAATGACCTGGACGAGCGTGAGTTGGTTAACAGGAGCCTTGCGGAATTTGACAACCAGGACGATGCTGCGGTACGACAACACGAAGCCGAAGAGGAACCCGAGGAGTTGAGGACCCCGATTTGGCTTGCAGGCCCCTCGATGAAAGAAAAGGCCATCCGTGTTCTAGCATTGAAGCAGCTTGCCATTCGACTTATGCTCCGCCCGACTCTTGCCCATGACTACGAAGGTCTTCCGATGAAGTATGCCGGTGATAACGATGTGCCCCGCATAAAGCCAACACGCCTTCTCACAGAGCTGAACAACCTGAGAAAGAGGATAGACTTCCTGAGGGAGAATGAAAACGTGAATGTTGACGATATCATGCACGCCTTTCGGGCAAATCCGTATCATGTGGTGCGGCAGGAGAAATTCAAACTTGACAATGAGATCGAACAGATCACCAACATATACCTCTCAGGGCGGATATCTCTCCAGGAATACTTGCTCCGGGTAGCGAGTAATCTCACGCGATCTATCGAACCTGACCGGCCACGGGCATTCAAGATCATGCTTTTGGCTTTCACGCATACTCGACAGAATGACCTGGGGCTCATGGTTCTCCGCACACTGTTTCCGAATCGATTCCGACTTAGCTCGCCGTTGATCATCACGATCTTGAATTTCTATCGGAAAACCAAGGACCTCCTCAACTTCGACCTTTTCTTGCAAATGCTTATAGGAGGAGGATACCCGGTTAACTTGGGCAAAATGCCCCATTTCAGACACAAGGTGATAAACGGAATAGACCTGACTATTCCGCCACTGGATAGTTCAAATCCAGTTCTTTACGCCGCCCTGATCTCCGCATGTCTCCGTTTCGACCAGCCTGAGAGAGCTGATGCGTATCTCCAGGCCGCGCGCTTGACCGGATACATGGATGATTACCACACCCTATTCGCCTATTTGAAATTCTACGCGATTCGGCAAGACTGGTGGAATGGGGTGAACACGTTGAAACGAGCTATTGCCTACATGGGATCCACAAGTGTTCACATTGAGAAATACGCAGAGAGATTGATATTCTTGATGGTGCATTTGTGCGATTCCTGCGAGAAGTCTGCTGTCTCCGAGGCTATCATCAAAGCTGCCGTCGACAGTGGTTTTGACCCGAAATTGGGGGAGAGGCAACAGGATATCGAAGACGAGATCGACCCTCTGTTTGAACGGTGGATAGGTGCTTCGATGATGTCGGAATCCGGTAACGAGGGTCTACCAATTGGAGAGAAATGCTTCTCCTTTTTACGCACCGCTGGAGATGTTGTTAGCGACCTTGGCGAGTTCCCCGAAGAGCAGAGTCCCGCTCGGTTACGGCGAAAATGGTCAGGACACTTTTCACAATCTCTTCTGTCGTCTATGCTTTCTGAAAAGCGTGCCGAATATAATAGTCCCGCTGAAGACGGGTTCGCTTCCGATGGTATAGCAACACAAGCAGCGTCTGGGTCGGCTGCTGAACAGGGGATCCCAGAGCTGGGCAGCCAGGTTACCGAGCCTTCAACACCTGGAATCCTCATCCAACAAGAGGAAGATATCTCACTCCTCCGACGCGACATCAACCGCCTGGACCAAAGGCTCGACGACGCCATCGAAGCCAATAAATTCCAAACCGAGACTATGACAGCCCACAACGACGTGATAAGCCTCATGAAAGACGAACTTCGCGAGCTGAGAAAGGTCAGCAAGATAACCAAAGAATCCTACCAAGCCCACGAGAAGACCTCCACAAGGCAAGGCGAGGAGATCCAGTCCCTGAAATACGAAGTCTCAGAGCTGAAGGAGAGCCTCGCTTCTGAACGAGGCGCGTTGAACGATGCATTGCGCTCGCTCAAGACTGCGTTAAACGAACTACATGAAGTTAAGAGCCAAGTCGCTGGTAATAGCAAGACCGGCCAATCAATACAGGCCGACATTGCTGACTCCACGACCAACATAAGGGACCAAGCGGCGAACTTGAAGGCTAAGGCCGGAGCAATCCCATCGAAACTCGAGTTCAAGCTTGCAAAGCAGCAAGGAGCTAACTTGGACTCTATGCCTCACAACCGGAAGAAGTGAGGATTTGGTTGCTAGAGCATGGAATGATATTTGTTAGAATGAATGATCGACCCTCTTCGAGAGATGTTTACACTATCTTGTCCCGTTTATGCCCACGCTCTTCTCCCCTTCCCTTCTTGTTCATCCTCTTGGTCATTTCTTTTCATTTTCTTTGCATTTGGATACCTGTATAATTGTATATTATGTTACGGCCAGTTATGTACAGTATTGAATACAAAAAGCATCATATAGCCGACAAGAAAGGACACCATGTCGGATTGATTCTTATGAGACATCCGGAGTTGAGACGCTTGTCTGAATTGTATCTTGAGCCGGTTTGGTTCGGACTGATTAGGGAAGTATATGCAGCTCAATTTTGTTCCAGAATCTGGTCCAAGAGTCCCAAGTATCATGTCAAGTCTTAAGTACATAAATCCATGAACGAACCAATGACGCCTGAGGTAATAAAAAAAAAAAAAAAAAAACAAAAAAACAGCCATATATTTTCTAAACTGAGCCGTTGAAAAGTCTGGGTAACAATGTAACAAGAAAAAAGGTCTAGTATTATATGCTCCAAGTCGATTACCGTCTCTTGCCGGGGTCAGCGCGCATCTTCTCTTTCCGGGCGAGTCTTTCGGCGGCGCGAACGAGGGACGAGCGGATGTCGCCCTTGGCGAAGCCGGAGATGTCGTAGTATGTGGGTGCGATGTCCTGGAGACATAGTTAGCATGAGGAATTCTTGGGATTTTGAGGGATAAAAACATACCAATAGCCATTCCGGCTTGACGGCAGTAACCGTCCGGATGTAGTTCTTGGTTGTCAGGACGAATTCGTTGTACAGAACCCACTCCGCTTCAATTGCCAGCACAGTGGACGGGTGCAGGAGAACGTTCTGGTTGTCCTTGATCGTGATGTACTGGTTCTTGCCCTGTGTTTCCTTCTTGGCGACCTGCATGAAGAATCCTGCGCACAGCGCGCGACGGATGTTCTCGTAGTACCGCTTGTCTTCGAATGGTGTCGAGACCATGTCTAGCTCCGAGCGCTCCATGATGCGGAGGAGTTGCATGCGGACGTTGTCTGCGGACTGGAGGGATCGGAGGGAGAGGAAGTGGTCGTGGCACCATTGCTTGGAGTTCTCCTGGGCTTCGGGGCTCTTGAATGCGTGGTAGACGTTGAGGAGGGTGAGGTGGTCGCCGTCGGGGTGGGCGAAGAGGTTCTTCATTTCGTCTGCGCGCTTTCGTTGGGATGCGGGTCTGACGAAGACCTGCGGGACGGACAGGAGTGCCGTGATGGAGAGGATCTCGTTCGAGCAGTAGAATTCTGGCGAGCTGATCAACATGACAGCGAGGGCAGGGTCGAGAGGGAACTCCGATGCGAGACGACCAAGCTGAGTCAGGTTACCCTCGTCGTCGAGACAGGCCAGGTAGTTGAGTTCCTCCAGGGCTCTCATCAGAGTCTCCGGAGCAGGAGGGTCCATCAAGTCGAAGTGGACCAAGTCGTCGATGCCAAGCTTCTTCAATTCCAAGACTGTCGACGAAAGGTTGGAACGGAGAAGTTCAGGATAGGTTTGATCAATCAGTTCCTTCTTAAAAGCCGTCTCAGTGTAAAGACGGAAGCACTTTCCGGGGCGTGTACGACCGGCACGACCAGCTCTCTGTTGCGCAGAGGCCTTCGAGATGGGGGAAACGAGGAGAGACTCGACACGGATACGAGGGTTGTAGATCTTCTGCTTAGAGAAACCGGGGTCCACGACATACACGATACCGTCAATAGTAAGCGAAGTTTCAGCAATGTTGGTCGAAATGATGCACTTTCTACCGGGGCGGCCACCTGGGCCTCGTGCAGCCGGTGCAGGCTCGAAAATGCGTTGCTGCATGTGTGGAGGAAGACTACCGTACAACGGGTAGCACTTCAAGGGAGCAGCGTCGGCTTCTCGCATCATTTCATCTGCCTCGAGGGAAATCTTGCGCACGGAATCCTCAATCTCCTCCTCACCCGTCAAGAACAATAGGATATCGCCGTCATCCTCGCTGGCGTGGATTTGCAGAACTGTGCGAATTGCGGCCTCAACGTAGTCCTGCTCCGGCTCGGGGGTGTAGAAGATCTCGACGGGGTGGGTTCGACCGGGAACGGCGAGCAGGGGCGCGTCCATAAAGTATCGCTGGAATTTTTGCGCATCCAGAGTAGCAGACATGATAATGATCTTCAGATCCGGACGACGCACAACAACCTCCTTCAACAGACCCATCAACACATCGGTGGCCATGGTTCTTTCGTGGGCTTCATCCAGAATGATCGTGCTGTACCTCGAAAGCGTGTTGTCATTCATCGCTTCTCTCAGAAGCATACCGTCCGTCATGTACTTGAGGATTGTCCGGGGACTCGTCATGTCTTCGAAACGAATACTGTAACCAACTTCCTCTCCCAGTTTGCAATCCATCTCTGCAGCCACACGTTGAGCGACGGACATGGCCGCCACACGTCGCGGTTGAGTACAGGCGACCTGCTTGCCTTGGATCTGTGGAAGGTCATCGAACAAGACGAATTGGGGGATCTGTGTTGTCTTTCCGGAACCGGTTTCACCGACGAAGACTAGAATTTGGGACTGCTGGTAGAGCTGGAGGAACTCATCTCTGAATCAGAGGTCAGCATTCTTCCTCTATATTGCGCGATCTTGCCAAGCAACTTACCTCTGAGCATGTACTGGAAGATCGCGACGAGTCTGCAGGATCGAGACATATTTGTTGGAGAACGGCTGTCCGTTGAACGGGTTGACTTCGCTATCCTCAACGTCCTTCGCCAGCTTCGCCGTCGTCTGATGTCTCTTCAATTTGCCATAGGCCGGGTTCTTCTCTGCCGTACCATCATCCCATCCATTGCCGTTCGAGTCCTCATCGGCGTACATGTGAGCCAGGTACGGGTTGTCCTTGGGATCCGTCTCGGTCTTGTCCATTTTTTGACGCTTAGGTCGCGAGCCGTCCTCAGTCTTTGGACGACGATCGACCATGGTGGTGTGATGGAAGAAGAGAAGGGCAGAACGCAAAAGAAATCAAGCGTCTTTTGAACGAGTTGCGTTTGCGCCGAAGAGAAAGAAGAAAAATCAATGGAAAAAAAGTTCGGAACGATCGCTGTGGCTGAATGTGGCTAGTGGCCCTCCAAGATAGGCAAGTATCCCGCATGGCCACAGTTTCCTATCGGAGACGGTTCACCGCCCGTGGTATTCTGCCGGGTTCCCCACGAAAAGGCAAGGGAATTGCGAAGGGAGAAGGTGCAGACCAACTCTCGAGGGAGCGAATCAACCTCCCTTTCACCCTCTTTTCCGGTCCGGGATTGCTCCAGGGAGCGCTTGGGATAGGGTATTTTGACTCTATTTCCTGTCAATTCAGTGCTCTTATCGGCTCTGAAAATTGGCATTCTTCGATTGTCCACAAACGGCAGCCAACAGTCTTTTCCTGGCAGAAGATAATTTCGCCAAGATGGATTCATTCAGCATGGATGATGCGGCCCCTAGCTTCTGCGTTGGTCATCATGAGTCCAATCGCTCATATGCTGTCACGTCTGATGTGGTGTACAAGGCCCACGAGAGTAATGTACGATTGTTCCCCGCTGCTTCTCCATATGACAATGTCAATTGAGCCCTTTTTGACCATGACTGTGAACAGTATGACATGCTCACCACGCCTATTACGACGTCTCATTTCCATTCCCGCGTCCTGGCTCTCCTCTCGTCTCATCTATCCGGCATGCAACCTGCGACGGCTGATAGCAATGGTACCATGGGAACAACTCGGAATACTATACCATTGGTGATTCCGCCGCTTAACCCGGCTGATACGCATTTGACCCCAAATGACGCTATGAGCCAAGTGGTGGGGGTCACTAGTGCTTGGATTGATCTGTGCTCTCCGGACCCGTTGATTGCGGACATCTCCCGTCAGATTCTCATGCTGGAGGTTGCGTATGCAGCTTTCTGTGGTATTGGTTACCTGCTGGTTCCAGGACCAAAGCTACACCATGGGAGCATGCACTCCGAAGGCACGGTTTACTATGCTAGGGCTATCCAGGACGCGTTGAATCTCGGCCCTTATATCCAGTTTCATATCTGGTTGAGAACTATCGATAATCCGGAAAATGAGGTGGACCAAATGGGTGATCTTGCCCCTCTTGCCCGCGGGGAGTTCCTTGAGCCGGAAGAAGACGCAACGCCGAAGATGGATCCTTTTGGTACCTGGGAAGCATGGGATTTGATCCGGAGAACTTGTAAATATCATGCACGACTACTCGTAGGTAAGAATGGATGCTTTTCCGCTTCTCATACCATGTGCTCTGCGTCTTTTTTCAATTAATTGGGCTCTCGGACTAAGTTAACGTTCGATAGCTCTCTCCATCCCGAAACATCTTCCGCCTATGTCCGTCCAGTCCCGGTGGCATTCTGAGCCGGTGCACCTTCTTACTTTTGACACCAACTGCTTTATCAAGAACCAGAAAGGATACCCGGTTTTGTCCAAAGCGCATCAATCTTTGATAACCCGGTTTATGCGCCTGCGCAGTGCCCCGTGGATTTTGCTTTGTGATGTCGGTCCTATTCCTGGCATTGAGGCGAACGACGACACTAACCAGTCCGATCTATCTGGGTCTGAATTTCCCAGTCTTGGACAGGCTTCTATCGCGAGCAAGAAACATCATGATCTGACTCCACACCTATCTTACATGAGGAATCTTCAACAGAAACAACCTGCTCGCAGCGCCATCGAGAGATTTGGTACCGGATACCAGGACTATCTGCAAGCTCCACTGCAGCCGCTGACGGTTAATCTGGAGAGCATTACATACGAAGTCTTTGAAAAGGATCCTATCAAGTACGACTGGTATGAGCGTGCTATTGCAAAGGCCTTGAGTGATTGGGCAGACCAAAAGAAGCCTACATCCAACCCTGATGGTCGGGTGGTTGTCGCTGTTGTTGGTGCCGGTAGAGGACCTCTGGTGACTAGGGCTCTTCGTGCCAGTGCCCAAACGGGTGTTGCCATCGATATGTGGGCCGTGGAGAAGAATCCCAACGCCTTTGTCCTCCTCCAGCGTCACAACGAAACTACATGGGGTGGCAAGGTCACCCTTGTACAGTCAGACATGCGAGCCTGGAAGGGACCTCAAGTGCTGAAGAAAGTCACTACTGCACCACCTGCACTAGTTGGGCAGTCACTTGGCATTGAAGGCTCATCGCTTCTTGCCGGAGAGCAAGCCACTGTACCACCAGTTACTCCACCGATCCCGGAATATAGCAATACTCATGTCGACATCGTGATCTCCGAGCTTTTGGGTTCCTTCGGCGACAATGAGCTGTCCCCTGAGTGTTTGGATGGCATTACTCCTCTAATCAACCCTGTGCATGGAATATCCATTCCGGAGTCCTACACGGCGCATTTGACGCCAATCTCCGCCCCCAAGCTTCATGCCGATGTCATGAATGGGTCCGCCACCAACCCGGCCGCCCCTGAAACGCCATACGTTGTCATGCTGCATGCGATCGACTTCTTGTCTACAAACCACCCACCGGCTACCAGCGTCTTGAAAAACAACAATGGCAGCATCCACAATCACGCCCGCTCTTCGATATCTACACTGCCTGGTCCGGAATTCGCAACTCCATTCGTGCAGACCGCATGGTCATTTTCGCACCCGAATCTGCACATTCCTCCTCAGTCACCCTCGTCATCTACCCTCTCAAATGCGCATAACGTCCGTCAGACCCGGTTGACCTTTCCCGCTCAGAACTGCGGGGTTTGTCATGGTATCGCCGGATACTTCGAGACTGTGCTTTATCGCGACGTTGAGCTCTCGACGAATCCTGTGACGATGGACAACAAGAGTGCTAATATGATCAGCTGGTTCCCAATCTACTTTCCCTTGAAGGTGAGTCTTTTTTTGTTGCCCCTCTCCTATCCACTACAGCAATCTCGTTGGCTGGTATCATTGGCCGTTGGGATCGGTTAACGGTTTTTATTTATTTTAGACACCTCTTGGAGTACCCGAAAATGGCGAAATCGTTGTGACAATGTATCGGCAAACTGATGACCGGAAGGTGTGGTATGAGTGGATGGTTGAGGTGTTTGCCCTCGAACGCACGGCCGAAACTGCGACGAGTGGGGTTATGAGTCCTGTGATGAGCGGTGCTAGGACGGACTCGCCAGGCGCTGATAGCGCTAACGCTATGAGCAAGGACAAGCAGCAGCAGCAACGTGAGCGACGTCGTGCTCGGCGAATTAAGGTGGGTATGAGCGATTTGCATTCGAGCATCAAGGAGGGATGTCTTATGTGAGATGGATATCCGGAACCCGGCCTATAGCTATCATACCATTACTTGGAAACATAAAAGCAACACTATTAACCCTTGACGTCTATTATCGTCATGAACAATTCTGCAGTACCCCAACTATTCTGTAGCATCCTCTACTAGAGGAACACCACTTAATAAAATGAGGTCATATGGTCCACGAGATCGCTCCACTATCGGCATCTCGTATCGGTTCTTTCACACCGATCCCAACTCCTGCCCAGATCGGTTCGATTCCTCGATATATCGCGTTCTGACGATGTGAAACTCCCAGAAATCGTGCATTGAAAGACGGAGCTGCTGCCGTTTCGGAAGAAGATATGCAGTCCGGACATTCTCCGTGATGTGATGAGATCGGACATGCATGGAGGTGATGAGTGGACCGGTATCTGTAGATGAGGCTGGGATATCACTATCATTTGCGGAGTTCTAACCGCTGAAGATTTCAGGTGGAGACCGTTGAAAACCGTTAGACCTTATGTATTGTGAATATCATACTGACTGCATTGGTCTGCTTCGCTATAGCACGCTTGTTATTGCATCGTGCGGCCGCTGCCGGGATGGCACATTTGCAGCCAATCATGTGCCGGGTTTGGCAATTTGTATAGAACGGAGATGCGCGATAATGGAATAACTTGACATTGCAATGATGCGGTATGCGATGGACAGCATGGAGTTGAGAAACATGGAGGGCACGAGGTCGGTGGTATTTCTAGCCGCCTGTGCCCGGGCACCATAAGCATTATTCCTCGATTACTATTCAGAAAATTCTCCGTTGTCAAGCTGCATCTCTAACAATGACGGCGGTTGCAGAAACTTTCATCAGTATCGCCTGGGGCGTTCTGTCCATATCTACTTCTCTATACCTCCTATCCTACTTCAACTCTCCCCTAAGAGACTTCCCGGGACCGGTCCTTGCTAATCTCACAAACCTGTGGCGCTTTCTGGATGTCTTCCATGGCCGGCCTGACAAGACACAGTTGGAGCTGCATAGGAAATATGGCAGTGCTGTGCGGATCGGTCCGAATGTCATCAGTCTGTCGGATCCGAGTCTGATCAGTAAAGTATATACGACGAAGGGGGCGTGGAAGAAGGTTAGTACAGTTCTACTCTTTCAGGTACATTGGCTGATGCATTTACCATGGTTAGAGTGATTTCTACACCGTCAATGATGCTCGTGTTCACGGAATGAGAGTGCCAAACGTCTTCTCGAGCACGGACGAGAAATGGCACTCGATGGCCCTACGGCCTATACGTCAGGCCTATTCGATGACTCAGGTCTTGGACATGGAGTCTCAGATAGAAGCAACTATTGATCTTTTGTGTGAGAAGTTGGATGAGAGGTTCGTGAAGCCGGGGGTTGCATGCAACATGGCGGACTATTTGCTCTACGGTACGTCCAGTGATAAATATATCGTTAACGGTTGCTGACAACTTCAGCTGCATGGGATGCTATGGGCCAGGTAACCTTTTCAGGAACGCTTGGGATGCTCGAGAAGGGTTATGATCCCACCAAGATTATCCAGACTGCGAAGAATAGCATCGACTACTTCGCCTGCGTAAGTCAGGTTGCTCAACCTCATCCGAGACACAATAAGCTAACAATGTAACAGTTTAGCCAGATACCAAAAGTCGACGATGTTCTGGGCAAGAACAAAATAGTCGAAGCTATCTCGCCTTCTGGCCTCGGCTGGGCAGTAAAGTATATTCAAGATATGTACGTGGAACGGAGCAAAGAGTCACAAGCAACATCAAGGCCAGTTGACTTCATGGACCGCGTCCTCCACGCACAGAAGAAGTTCCCAGAGATCGTTGATAATGCAATGGCAACCATCTACCTTCTATCCAATGTTCTAGCAGGGAGTGATACCACCGCAACAGCTATGTGCTCTGCCGTCTACTACATCCTCAAGCACCCGTCCGTGCACAGCAAGTTACGCGAGGAGCTGGACTCTGCGAATCTATCTTTCCCCGTGAAATGGAAAGACCTCCAGCACCTTGCCTACTTTACCGCTGTCATGCGGGAAGCAAAACGTATTCATCCCGGAGTAGGAATGCTCATGGAGCGTGTCGTCCCAGCGGGCGGCCTGTGTCTCCCCGATGGTCGCTTCGTACCTGAGGGTACCATCGTTGGGATGAACCCATGGGTGATCAATCGAGATGCGGATACATTTGGGCTCGATGCAGACCAGTTCATTCCTGAACGATGGCTACAGTCGTCAGGTGAAGCGGGCGAGGAGCATCAGGCACGAGTTGCGAGAATGCAGCGCGCTTTCTTGACTTTTGGGGCTGGTTCGAGGAGTTGTATTGGGAGGAACTTTAGTGAGATGGAGAGTGATAAGATTGTGGCTACGCTTTTTGCGAAGTACGAGGTACGTTAATATCTATTCCTATGTGTCGTGGGGGATAAGAGAGGATAAGACGTGCTGACAGTGACTAGATGGAGTTGGCTGATCCGAAGGATACTTGGAATGTTACCAGTCTGTGGTTTGTTCGGCAGGATAATATTGTCGTTAACCTGAAGGGTAGGATATAAGTGATTATGGGACTGTATATATATACTTTGCTTTAAATTGATACCTCCATGTATATATTTATTACTGAACAGCTTATCCATATAAACATGCAAGTCAAATCATGTCGCAACATCCAGCGTGGCAAAGAGCTGCCTGTACGGCAACCAGCCATGATTTAATGACGTTGGACTTAAAATATAGTAGGCGAACTATTATCTACTGTTTTTCGTGGTTTCATCTTATCTTATTTTTGACTTTTTCGATGCAGCTGGATTCGAGAAGGGAAGGAGGTAGGGTTTGGACGGTGCCTGCCGGTTGTGTCTGCCTGCCCGTATCTCCTGCTCTACCTCTTGCCTCCTCTTATTTCTCTCTCTTCTCTTCTCTTCTTCTCTCTTCCATCTTTCGACCATCTTCTGTCTTGCGTCCATCTTTCTTACAACTTGCCTTTCACCTTGCTATTTCGCTTTCTGTTCTCATTTCACCATGGATTCTTTGTCCATGCTCAAACTCCCCTGCTTGACAACAGAATACGGAACATCTGGTAAGTACTTCCCCCCCCCCCTCTCTCTCTCGCGGACGACTCGCTGACAAAGTATCCCCAGACATCGAACCTGTCGAAGCGGACACAGAGTTTGAAGGCACTGCCAAAAATAACGCTGTGTCTGGCACTCCCACTGGACCATTCGAAGACGAGTTGTTCCAATTCGACAGCGAGTTCAAGCTGTTCCTAGACAGCTGGCCCGACTGTGAGAACGTGAGGGATCTTGCAATCATCGCTGGGTTAGATGAGCACCAGGAGGCATGCCTCGAGAAAATGATCTCAGGAACCACCAACTCGTCGTTTCCGGGCCAGATGACAGGCGGCTGCTTTGTATGTCAGGTCGATCCGTGTCAAAGTACCAAATTGGCCCGACTGGAGCATGATCCCTCGCATCCATCCTGAGGAAGACAATGACGATGCAGAGTTCCTGATCGCCCTTTTGATCCACTGTATCCACGTCGCCAAGGATCGAGAGGATCAAGTGGGAGAGTATATTGCAGACATCATCATCGATGCCTTTTACGAGTACGAGCCTTTCATGCTGCTGCCATGAGTGCGGACCACCGTCGAGAGCGTGGCTGAAGACTCGTTTCATTGGAAAAAAGGCACGGATGCATGTACTACAACCCTCACGAGACACCCAAGAGCATGATACGGAGGAGGTTTGACACCTTGGAACGTGGGGGAAAGGGAGGGAGGCTTATTTTTGCACTCGGGGACGATCAGAGTATATTTGTTGTTGGTCCCGGACAAGGAGGATGTTTCCCCTTGATCTCGTATGCCCGAATGAGGGGCAGTTTGGAGGATTGTTGGTATGGATGCACTTGGGGACCGCACACACACACAGGGGCGGCCACACACACACGGGGACGACACACACGGGGACGACACACACGGGGACGGCACGGATGGGGACAAGGCATATGGGGACCGCACACACATGCACACATGTCATCTGCGGAGGATTTGGGGATACTTGGATAATACGGTAGAGAATTATGGGCTTTTTTGGGGACCACACACACACATGCACACACACGCATCTGCGGAGGACTTTGGTATTGGATACATGGATAACTGGCGGAGAATCATGGGCCTGTTTTGGGGAAGTCAGTTTGTATGGTCCCGGTCGAGGTTTTTACTCTGCACTACGCAGAGCATGTTTCCCTTGATACTATGCCAAAATGGGGGGATGACTATACCGTAAGAGTTTGATTTTGCTTTGTTTATCGGAACCCAAAAAGGAAATATAGGGCCGAATACTTATTTCACATCACTCATCTATTATGTCTCCCCTCCCGAAAAGAGTCACTTCCAACCTCTCTAGTAGAGAAAATATTTAACAAGCCAATTGAGCAGAAAGAAAGTCCCGATAATTTCGAGGCCCTGGTTTTGTTGCCTTATAGGAGTGATGTCCATGTCACACTTCCCTCCCTAGCAGAAACCCTGGTGACCAAGTATCTTCGATATATTGTCGGGGTTAATGAGGATGGAACAAATTTGCAAACTGTTCAACCGTTTGAGCCAATCCTGGCTGCCGTATCCTCCAGCGTGATGGCCAGTAGTCCGCAGTTTCATCGAGACGCGGTGAGGGCGTTACATCACAGCGCAACCACAGGAGCTATACATATAGCGAATGTTGGTCAGATGGTGGCCAGCCTGATTCTGCTTTTCTCTTTTGACAAGATCTTGGGAGAGCAAAATCCAAAGCCAATCAAATTGAAGGACTTTGTATCCTTATTACTGCCCCGTGCGCTGATCCAGGAAACTGTTGCTCGGATACGGAAAGATGACGAATGCACTGATCTATGGAACCAAGGAACAGTCTTCTCTAATCACTTCGTGCGTCTGACGGACTCGCCAACGGAGCAGACCCTGTGGCGGGCATATTATCGCGGGGCCGCCGTTATACCCGTGCTGGTTATGGTGAATGCGATTTGCTCGTCCCCATTTTACTACCCAAAAGTAACAAGATCAGTTACCTCTCAGTTCAAGTGATAAACAGACCCAACGATCACCTGGGACAAGAGCTCGAGAAGGAAGCGTTTCAAAGCATCAATCTTGCTGCAGATCTTCTATCCAAGAAGTCTGCTCATCTTGGGCTCATGATGTGTTTTCGGCAGCACAAGGACCAGCAGGAGTTTGCAGTGGTTTATCCACCAGTCAAAATGCAAAGATCGAAGCACGGTGTTGCCGAAGAATACAACTGGCATAACGGCAACAGTTGAATGAGGTGTGCTTCGGACCGTTTCAGCATTGGCTGCGTGGTTGTTCTATTGCTGTCTCCTTTTCTTTTGGCTTTTGGTATTGTCATCCTGTATAGCTTCGATGGAGCATGTGGCAACCAGATAGGAGCAACATAGTGGTCTAATAGGCTTCTCGCCAGTACCAAACACCGCCATAATCCGTCCGTTCGATTGCTGCTCTATAGCTAGCTACGAGCCCTAAGAATTGACGGACTTGGGCGCACGCTGTGGATATATCGAGACTGGTGGTCGACCTGAGTGCAGCATAATATCTAATCCATGGAAATGAGGTGCTAGCTTGTTGAAATGCTGTAATTAGGATTGCATAAAATGAAATATCTTTGCTCGTGTTGCTTTGTATGTAAACATAATGCTTAGTGAATATCCCAGATTAACTATGTGATGCCTGCGGTAAACATTTCCAATTTAACTGACCTGGCACATATCTACCGTTCTCTTGCTTATAACTTCAACATGTCCATATTTCAACTCCAGAGAGCTCACGTCCTAACGCAATCCAGGGCAAAGTCCTTGAGTCGTACAATGACGCGCCCATTCCTCTCAATCCGCAGAAGCTCTTCTCACAGAGAACCGCTTGAACTCCCCCAGCGGGGCATTCTCTACTAGGAAAAGAGCCAATTGACGAGGAGCGCTGTCCAGGCTACAGTCCCAAACAAGTTTTACCCTGCGAAACCTGCAGAGGAACTCGTCAATCGCTATCAGAAAGGCGACTATTATGCCAAAGCTCATATCGCAGAGATGATAGTCCTACTTGGGCCTTCGCCCCCAGAACTGGTTGCAAGATCCAACGCAATGTTGAGGCAAAAGTGGCATGATCTTATTAGAATCGAAGACGGTAGCATCTGCGAAAGCTCCGGGCAGTATTTTGGCGGTCCATTTTTCGACCAAGATGGTATTAGAAGCACCCTGTATAGAACAGAGCTGAGACCCCAACCGGGGGTGAATCGGTCCTCACATCAGCTGTAGTATTCAATGCAGATTGTTGCTGCTTCTGTTGTCTTTCTTGCTTTTCATTGTCATGCTCCTGTAATAAATGCTGTGTTGGCCCTTTATATATGAATAAACCCATGATAAAGCCATAATTTGAGTTAAATACAATAAAATAAATGAGATGATGATATAGTCAAGCCCATAGGAAGTTATTCCCTGAAAGATATTTACCAGCCGCAATTGACTTTTACTTTGTAACCCTGGACTGAGTACCTGTTTACACTGCCACCTATTTATTCTACACCCTGCTGTTGTACTCCGTACTCCGTATACCAGAGTATATTGCGTATTCCTAGTGTGTTCGTAAAAATCACCATACGAGCTACGAAGGCCCAATGAATTTGGTCAGCCGCGATGTTGCCTTAGCCTAAGCCACCTTGGACCAGCATTAAACTCCTTCGGCCTGGTTATACGACTTAGTCCAGCAAATGGTGGTGTGACCCCGACCGGGTTCGGTGTCGCGATCGCCTTCGAGGGCTCCGTCCACTGCCTAAGACTACGGGTGCATCACTCAACGACTTTCCCTGTCTCCCCCACCTTCCCACACACTTTGCCTGCGTTGTTCGCGCTGGCGCTGCCCCGGCTCTGGGAATGGTCCGTCCATTCCCTTTTTGTCTCGGAAATTGAGCGCATGAGGATAACGTGCGTAGCCCTCCTCTTGCGTCTCAGTCCATCCATGAGCTGACCGGCCATAACTAGGCCAGCGGAATCCATGCACCAATGGCAGAAATGCCTCATGCCCTCCATTTTGGTCTTCTTTGGCGGCGACGGGTCATCTGGTTGGTTGTCTGGCTAGCCACCCAGATACCCACCCCTAGACAATACTGGATGGACCGCAGGATCACGCTAAATTCCTGATGCAGTGGTTCAACGAATCACCAGTTCATCATAAGCGCTGTTGCTATGGCCCAAATATATCAGAAAATCCATATTGAAACTCTGCTGAAGGGATCTCTCTCCTTATGGGGAAAAGTAAAGTGAGATGAATGGCTTTCAAAACGCGCCTGCTAATCCTGCATCATACCCATCCACTGAAAATCTAACCAACGAGAAAGAAAAGCCACTTAATTGGTTGTCCATATGCTAAAAAGCCACATGGTTAATCAAAGGTACGTTCTTAGGAGATCCTCCAAGTAATATGTTTCCCTTCCTATCTCCCTTCCATTTAGTCCAGTAATAATCCTCTGTGAACTGCTTCTCTCAGCTCTCTGAGCACCTATCTATGCATATCATGCGCGCAGGTTTCCAACTAACCAATGAGAGAGTGGAAACTAGCACGGAGCTCGATCAAGCGCGATATCAGGTCTCCAATGACTTACGGAAGACCTTGATAGAGATCACCACCTCCCTTCTAGAAAGTACCCGCATCTCATGGGTTGTCTTTAGGCACATTTATTGTGCTTCGCCGGGTAGTAAGAATGTAGATCGTCGGTCGGTCTTTATGCATTCTCTGGATTGTTCTTTGGATGCCGACGCACCACCTCTGTTGCGTTTAGATGTTGGGAATGGCTAGGTGGACTGTTCCCATATAACCAATGACCGTGGGTCAACGGGATATATTCCACCGGAATCGAACACAAGTATGGGCCTCCGACCCTGAGATCCTCATTTGTTGTATGATATGTAAGATTAATAAGACCAGGGCAGAAACTATCTGGGGCATGAAGGTGATGAGATAAATCAGACGAAGCTTGATGGTTATGGTTTACTAGAAATATAGCTCTGACAGGCTGATAGGTGAATGAATGTCTACCGAATAGAAGAAGTAAACCATTTACTTCATACTTCTAACCGCCATACAGCTCCTATAATGCACGCGACTAAGTAGAATAAAGCCCCTTCCCCTCCAAAACCTGCCTCAAAACCTGCAACGACGTCTCCGGTTCTACACACATTAGCACCCTACCCACCATAACCACTCGTGTAAAGTGTAAGGAAAAGAAAACTCACGATAATAAGGAACCTCATGCCCTGCCCCAAAAACTCTCAAAAACGTAAACCCCCCCACACTCTTCACCGTCCCCTTCTCCACACCATCAACACTGTACGGAACCAACTCCTTTCCTCGGAATTCCTCGGCTCCATCAAATGCGACTGCATTCGCAACGTCAAGGTTACCAGTCCAGTTGCAGATCCAGTCTGCATCGCCGGCCCAGAGGAGGACTTGTAGGCCTGACTCGATGAGTTGAGATAGAGTCGGGAGGAGGGTTTTTGCGTCTGCCACCCACCGTCCGTTAGCATTACCTTTTCACGGAGAGGGTTAGTAGGGTATTGTGGAAACGTACTATCCCCCGTCCTCCCAAAATCTAGCGCAACACCCCCCGCACACTCCCTGAACCTGCTTCCCCTCGCCCCAATCCTCCTCCTCACATCCTCCCGGTTCAAGTATGACATATATGTACTCGGCGGCTCATCATCATTCCTCGGTTTGCGGATATCATAGACATTGAAATCCGCAGCCCGACTAATCGGTCCTTCGATCTGGGATGAACAAATCCGGTTCGCGATCCTGCATGATTCATCTGTTTCTGTCTCCGTACAGTTGGTTACTGCGGGGACACATGTTTTCTCGTATACAGAGAGATAATTATCTCGTTGGGATTCGGAGATTAGTGAGCGGTAGGTGTTGTTGTATGCGAAATCGATGTAGGATTTCTCCTGGATGGCCGTGTCGATCCACGCGTTGTTTATACCCAGGGCGACTAGGTTTATTGTCTCCCCTTTTAGGGCACCGTTGTGGATAAGCTCGTTTTGGGCTTGGATGTGCGAGGCGAAGGAGGGGCCGTAGTGGCCGCCGTAGGACTGTAGCCGGTTATCAACTAGTTAGCCCTATCTTTTTGGATTCTTAATTGAGAGGGAAGGTAGGGGAAAAGACGGGGTACCTCGGTGACTATAGCAACATCCCTCCCCTCATACTCATGAAACGCCTCAAAAAACGCCTGCAAAAACACCCATACATACCCCGCCGCACTATCCGTACCATTCACATCCCCCCCAATCCCACCATTACCGTCATCAGCATACGAAAACCCCACACCCACCGGCTGATCAATATACAGCATATTCGCAACCTCGTTGAAACTATACGGATTGCGCACGGGAGTATCCGTATCACCGTGCAGGGGGAAATGGCACGGCCCGTTTTCTTGGAAAAGGCCTACCATAGACGAGCAGCCAGGGCCGCCGTTGAACCATGTTGCGAGGGGGGCGGTTGAGGGGGTGTTCCGGGATTCGAAGAACCTGTTCACCAACGAAATGAATCAGATTGCGCTTCTTTATCACAAGTATCAAGATAGAAGGTTACGTTGAAGGGAAGGGAGGGGGTGAAGGGAGGGTACCAGAAAAACATATTCAGACCCTCGCCGACAGAGAGATAGCCAGAGTATTGGTTTACGTTGGGGGTTGTCTCGCAGATTCCGGAATTATTGACGAATTCGAGAGTTGCGCCTGTGGGGGCGTGGGTGAAGACTGTGTAGTTTGCGCCATGTTTTTGGGTGTAAGAGAGACGGTGACTGGTGGTTGCTGTGTCGGTAGGAGAAGCGGAGGTAGTGATTGAGAGGAGGAGTGTAAACCAGAGGAGGAACATGTTGGATATTTGTTGCGTAGTTCGGGGGTGGAGTAGTGGAAGGGATACATGCAAGTTATATATAGGGTTCGATTACACAAGCGCGGTTGTTTGTTGTGTTATATGTAGGGTTGCATTACTGCGGGTAAACGAGTAGGACGGTTGCTTGCATGTCGTATTAATGTTCCACGGATGCGATGTTGGGATACCCGGTTCAAGGTAGATCAAGACAAGTCAAATAAAATGGGAAATTACCTCTGGCGAGAGACTATTCTAATGCACAAATCAATCCAGTTGTTAAAACCGGCCTAGTAATCCATAACATAACAAAATAAAATCCCTTCCAAGCCGTGCTTGGATACCATGCATAGTAACCAACAAACATAAGATAACATCATATCATAACCCTCAACAAAACAAAACAACCATGTTGAAATCCATATGGTATCTCATCCACGCCCATCACCACCCCCCCCCACCGCTTCCCACGCATTTATCCACCCTAGTGACCAACATACGCCTCCGGCTTAACATGCAAATGACCCCCCCTATTCTCCGCCTGCTCCAGCACCGGAATCGTATTCGTATCTTTCAACCCCTGATTCGCCGACGGAACGGCCAACGGGCTAGGCTGCGGCGACGTCGACGGCGTCTCCATCTTACTCTCGTGTTCGGTGAGACCCTTTCGAATGGCGAGGACTGAGTCGACGATGACTGCGTCAATGCCCTCGGTGACTTGTCGCTTGACGTGGTCGGGTTCGTTGTTGATGGCGCCGTAGGATACGCAGACCAGCCCAGACTCTTTCACGACGCGGACCAACCGTGGGCAGAGGACGAGGGGTTCGGCTTGGGAGACGATACCCAACAGGTTCCAGCGGGATGCAAAGCGGACTGCTTCTTGGAGAGAAGACGCGCGGATGTCGTAGGCTGGAGAGGCGCCGGAGTCGGAAAGGAACAGCACCGGGATAGAAGGCTGTTTGAAGGAGAGGAGGAGGCAAACGTCGGGGTTGAAGGAGGAGAAAAGCATGTTGCGGCCTTGGCCAAGGTCGTACACCAACTTTAGAACTGTGTCGACGAAAGAGTTGAGTTCGACGGCGTAGGTGTCCATCTCTTCTTGTTCGGATTCGAAAAGCATGGGGTATTCTACTCCTGTTAGCAGACGTAAAACAGAGGCAAGTGAAGGGACGTACTCAGTTCAATGTTGAACCCAACAGACTTGGGCAACTTCCTAAACAACTCCTCCAACGTAGCAAATGGAGCCTGGATATGATTCCCCCGTGTATTCCCCTTGAACCCCTTCTTCTTAAAGTCCCTCGTGTGCTTAATCTTCTCATTCAACTCCGACACATTATACTCCGACCCACCAACAGACATCGACCGCATGCGTCCACCCTTGCTCTCCTCACCGATGATATCAGCCCGGCGAGGCGAAGCATTCTGGTTCCGGCTATCGCCTAGCTGCATGAACTGTTCCAGTGTCATAGTGTGCACAGGCGCATCGATACCTGTCTCGCTGACGAGGAAGTCATGGTAGATGACCGGGACGTGGTCTTTCGTGAGTTGCACGTCGAATTCGACATAGGAAGCACCCAGGTTGGCCGCGGCGATGAAGGATTGGATGGTGTTTTCACCGAGTTGGAGGGACTTGCGGCTGGCGAAGTTCTTGCCTAGACCGCGGTGGCCGATGACCATTGTTGAGGTGAGACTCTTCCAGTAGGTTTGGTCGCGGCCAACGGACATGTTGGGGTGTTTGAAGGGAGTGACAATCAAGAAGTTGAATGTTAACGAGCCGATGACTTCCAACGTGTTGGCTGCCACGATAGGCACAGTCGAGTCACCCTTCAAATTCATCCGATGCGAACCCACACCAGGCTTAATGGACGAAAGCAACGCAACACCACGACCAACAATCTGATCCTTCGTCCCCGCATACGTGGGAACAAGATCAAACAGCAACCGCACCTTGGTCGGATCGGCAGAATGGAACACTATCGGCTCCGTAGAGATGTTATCCTGAACCGGCAGATCGATAATCTCCGGCTCACCGTGTGCACCACCAGCAGACACAACAATTGATAAAGCCGTGTCCAGCTGCGTGGAATGAGCATTCTCCATCGGAATTCGGTCCAGGTTGACTGCTTGCTGCGGCTTGCGGATGTCCATCGTGCCCAGACTGACCAGGATCATGGCCTCATCGGCGAGATACCGATGTCCAAAAGACTTGATAGGTTCAGAAGCCCGTGGGCCAGAACTCCCTGGGGTGGTGTTGTTGGAGCGGCGCTCCGCCAGAGAGGACTCTGCGAGGCCGGACGGCGCCTGGGACGGAGACGAGGGAGTGAGAGCGGCAGGGGAGATAGCAGCGGGAGCGGGGATGACTTCTGGCTCGGAGATCTCAGGTTCGGGTGTGAGCTCGGCCAGACGACGAGCGATGTCGAGGTGGCCACGCAGAGCAGCGTGCTCCTTAGCGGTCCAGCCAGACGAATCCGACCGCTCAAGATCAGCATTGGCATCAATGAGCAGGTTCACCACCGACAGCGCTCCATCAACAGAGGCAATGAACAGCGGAGTCCACGAATACGTGTACTCGAAAAGCTCAGTGTCAGCCTTCTGGTTGTCCGTGCCATTCAGGAGAATACGCGCACACTGGTGGTGACCGAACCGAGCAGCCACATGCAACGCAGTCTCACCCTGCTCGTCCTGGTAGTTGATATCAACACCAGCATCAACCAACAGCTGCACGATATCGACAAAGTTGGCCTTGGTGGCCATGGCGAGCACAGCGCTGGACTTGGGGACTTGTTTGCGGATAAACGCGCGTTCCTTGTTGTTCTCGCCCTTCCAGTTCTCAGACTCGAGCAGAGTTCGGGTGGTCAGCGGGTGGCCGCCAACAACAGACAAGTGCAGCGGGGCCCAGCCATCATTGTCCTGCCATTCGATACTGTCAATGCCGCCGCTCACATCGAACATGTCCCACGCCTGCAGATGCTCGATGATGACATCGCAGACAACCTTGAACCCGTACTGCGCACCATAGTGCAGAGGGGTCCGACCGGAGAGATCCTTGGCCAGGACAGCGTGACGCTGTTGCGGTCGCAGCTGGTCGAGCAAATGCGACAACAGCGCGATGGTCGGGTCAGAGCGCTCAAGATGCTGCGGCTTCTCCGACTCCTTGACGACAGAGCGCGCGGGCTGCAACGTAGGCGGAGCAGCAGGAGTAATGTAGTTGGAGGTCTCGAGAGGAAAGTCGAGCACCATGGAGGCAGACTGCTCCGAGTCGGTAGTAGACTGCGCGCGACCAATCGAAATCACCAGACGATGAACGCTGTTACGCTTGTTGATATCATCGTCCTCTTCAAGATCATCATCAATGCGACGAAGCAAAGCACTAATGCAAGCCTTGGACCGGTAGTAAATCGAGCGCTGCAGCAAACTCTTGAGTACCCTGGGGAACAGGTTATCCTGCGCCTCATCGGCCGCCTTCCTCAGCGTCTCAATCAACTCCAGCAAAACATGCGTATCATCAGACCGCACGGCCTCATCAACAGCCGTCAACAAACTCGGCGGCACATTCAAATTCGGCCTCGAAGGCCCCTTCTTCAACGACAACGACGACACCGTCGAACTCGCATCATCAGTAACCTTCTGATCACCCAGAATCGACAACCAGTCATTAATCCTCTTCAACGCCTCGGAAACCCGCACATTCGACGCAAACGGCGCGGGGTCAACCTTACTCTCCAGATACGTCTTCTGACTCTGCCCGCCAACGCGCTTATCCAGTTTTTTGGTGATTTTGATGAACCCCCGCCGATTCACCTCCCCATACCACTGCAACTTCCTCAACTGCCCACGCAATTCCAACAACGCAGCCAGTAAATCCTCCACATCCTCGCCGTCCAGCCTCTGCCGGCCATCGAGTGAATGCCCGTACCGGCCATCGAGTGAATGCCCGTACCGGCCCTCGAGCAGCTTCAGACGGCGCGAGAAATCGTGGTATTTCTTGTTGTAGAAGTAGTCGACGTCTTCGAGGTTGCGGTCGAGCGAGTAGAAGAAGCCTAGAATGTGGTCAGGGGGGTGTTGTGTCGACGGAGTCGACAGAGAAAGGTTCTAGTGTAGTGCCTCACCCGCTAGATCCGCCTCATGGTCTGCTTTGAGGTCCTCGGCGGCGGACTTGATGAGTTTCTTGAGGGGTTTGTATTTGATGTAGGAAGCGCTCCATTCGGGGACGACGTTGCGGGGGAGATTGCGGCCGAACTTCATGGTGGTGTGTGTATATATAGAGGTGGTAGATGCCTTGGGGAGCGGTGGTGGTGGTAGTGGTGGTAATGGTGTCGATTCTTAAGCGGAACTAAGGAGCCATTCGTCACGACAGAGTATGTAAGGAAATCTGTGTCCAGTATCGAGGTCAGCACGTGAACATGCGGTGGACAAAGGATGCTTGGCTTGGCTACCAGTCGGAAAGCTTGATGCCGGCACGCTGTCTATGCCAGCCCGTGCCAATGACTCGGCAGCTGATTCGATCGGAGATTTTTCAGTTATTACAGAAGTAAATAGAGTACAGATCACAGTACAGATATGCAGTGCAATACTCGAAAGTGAAGAAATGATGACAGTGGCAAAGGCAAGGACAAGGCAACAATACGCCTCTTATAATCGACCAAGTATCTTCTTTCACTCCATCCCGTGACCGAAATAGAAAAACCCTGGAAAAATCTCAGAATTCGCCAAGCCCAGTCCCCACAGTCCCCACGCTTCCAAGGTCCAGACCTCCCACGTCCAATCATCACCGTCTGTGGGTGGGGGCGAGGGAATGTTGGCTTGGATCGCTGAATCCCACAGACCAATGGGGGTTGGTGGGGACTAGGCGGTGGGACGAGCGGTGGGGGAGACCTGCAAGGGGGTAGCGAGGTCACGTGTGGCGGTGTGTCTGGGGTAGTTTTCTAGCCTTGTAGCATAGTGGTGGTGGTTGGTCTACTATATGTGAAGCTAGAGAGAGGGTATGGCACTATCGCTATCAAGCTTCATCTACCGAATATCACTCCACTAGCAAAAGTACCATGTCGCGGAACCGGACACCTGTACGTACTTTGGTGGTCAGCTGACGACCTGCATATGACCTCATTGACCGCCTCGGTCTCATGTAAGAGGATACCCTTGTAGCTCCGGGGAATACATATGGAGTGAGTGCGGAATACTCCGTACTCGGTATTAAGCATGCTATCAATATAGACAGTTTATCATGGTTAATTCAGTTGCTACATAACAAACAGATACTACGTCATCATCACCAATGCGAACAAAAACTCCTGTATGCCTATCTGATAACAAATTCCCGAGCAGACGCCTCGCTAATCAATCAGTGCTGCCAATTGCATTCCCTCCTGATATCGGACAATATGAGGGGTCAGCCCCGCTCGACAGCAATCCTGTAAACAAATCATAATCGTAATCATAACAAACAAAATCACCGCATAATCGGCTTCAACGCCTCCACCCCTGTCTGCAGTATCGCCGGGTTCGACGTCCGCTTCAACACACCTGCCAACGTCTCAACGCCCTGTTGGTCTTTGACAGCCTTGCGTGCACGGACGCCCGTATTTCCCGCCGCCAGACTAGTCAGGTTCCGTATGCAAGCCACTCCCCGATGTTGCAGTTCTGCATCTGAATCCCGGCAGAGTGACAACAACAACTCGACCCCGCGTGGTCGATCCAGCACCGCTGTAATTGCAGATTCAAACTCGGTTAGCATGGCCAGTGCTCCTCCTGCTGCTTTCCTAGTCGCTGTATCATCCACGTCTGTCAGCGCCAGCAGTACATGCAGCCGTTTGGCAGCCTGTTTCGAGCCATCTGCATATTGCATCACTCCGGCTTCACATGCCATCAAATTACACACCAGCTCGCATGTCGCACGCTGAATCCACGTGTGACTTGACAGCAGCAAATCCTCCAGCACCGTCCACCCCTGTCGAACAATCGTCTCAGATGCCGACTCATCCGGGTATGAGGCTAGGTTGGTGAGGGCCAACAGCCCTTCAAACACTGGCAGCAAATCGCGCGGCTGATCCGCAGTGAACACGGCTGTCTCCGGAGACGACAGCAGCGACACCAATGGCCGCACCGCAGAGGTCACCGAAGGAAAGCCGGAGGAAGGAAAAATGAGAGCCGGGTTGACGGAAATCAAAATTCGAGCTAGAGCATGAGAGGCGTAGTGACTAGTCTCAGCGCCCGCATTCCCCTGTTGCGGAGCCGCCATGTTGATCAATACCTTGACAGCACCTTGCTGGGCCAAGGCACCCCGAGATGAGCGATCACGGGCCAGAGACAACAGAATCTGACTGACAAGCGACTGGATCGAAGGAAGATTGGTTTTGGCGCAGTCCACGAGAAGCGGCATGGCGCCTGCCTCGACGATGGCCCGGCAGCGAGCGAGAACGGCCTCGTCTTGCTGGCGCGGATCAGGACCCGACCGTGCTTCTCCGGTCTTCGCGTTGGCATAGGCCTTCAACTGTGCCATTTTTTTCTGCTCTTCGGAAAGGTTGGGTAGGAATTGCGTGAGATGTTGGATAATCGTCAAGCCTCCATAAAGCACGGAGGAGGCGGAGGTCGGAGACGAGTTGGTAGCGTGAGGCCGTAAGATCTGAATGAGATCATTCAAAAAAGAGCGGTCCTCAGCGAGTTGCTCTTTCACGTCGGGCTTCACCGACGAGAAAGCCAGCCCTTCAATGGCATGCGGTACGTGCTCGACCTTTCGCTGCGACATCAGTTCCTTGAATCGATGTACGAGTTCCGGCACGCTGTCTTCCTCCTGAACCTTACCATTGGTTTGGGATGCTACCGCACCGGTTCCGTTCGTTGCCTCGGACGTGCGGATCTTGGCCAGAACGACGGCAGCCAGGTCGGAGGTCTCATCGCTGCCGTTGGTGAGGACGTGCGACAGCCAGTCGGAGAACCGCTTCGAAATAGTCTCCCGACACGCGGTGCTCACACAGGCCGCGTTCAGTAGCTCCAGAAGAGCAACCTCCACATTGCGATTCTTGGAGCTTCTCGAAGCCAGCGGCATCAGGGCTTTCATAAACTCGTCGGACAAGAAAAGGGAAGCGGCTGCGTTTGGAGCGACCGGGAATACGGCTACGGCCGCTGAAAAGGCCACAACGATATCGTCATTGCGGGCTTTGGTGATTTTGTGTGCGATGAGACGAGAGAATCTCTCCTCACCGGCCTGCTTGGCGACTTGGAGGTACTTGACCGTCGCCAGCGTGGCTTGGCCCCTCCATTCTGCCGGAAGACGGCTGTCCAGCGAGGATAAGATCACCTCCAGTCCCTCATCGTCGACCAAGTGTTGTAGCTTCTCCGCGTCAACCGCCAGCAGACGCGCAATTCCCTTCAGAGAACGACCATCCAGGTCATGGCCGGATTCCATGAGCTTGGCGATAAACAGTAGGAACAGTTCGCATTCGCAATGGTAGCGGACCGTTTCCGATGGCCAAACGGAGGGGTCCAAGACAACGGTATCGAGACACACGGCGGCCCCATCACCACGATCGTAGATCTCGTCAAAGAATGTGGTCACGGAGACCTGTAGGCGATTGGAAAAAAACTGTCGAACGCTGGTATTTTGACGCACAAGGCTGGAAATGAGATCATCTTGCGTTGCGGTCAAGGCGTGGGGCCGCTCGGCCAGCAACAGCATTAGGCATTGTAAGGCCACTTCCTCGGGGGGCTTGAGGCCGTCAGTTCGTAGGTAGAGGGAGGCGTCTTTGCCAGCAGATTCATCTTTGTTGGCAGTGTATTTGCGACAGAGGTCTAGGAGGTGGTGACCCTGGGTTTCGTCTTTCTGGACTTTGAGGAGGGTTCCCGTCACCTCCGGATGGTGCGGAGCTAGAGAGAGGGCTTCTCGGAGGTTTCGTGACGCCGCCTGAAAAAGAAAGACAGTTAGAAGAACTGCTGTAGAAACCAGTATTATGGAGAGGGGGCATACCTCGCGGTGACCGGCGTCGAACAGCTCGATGGCCTCGGTGGCCAGGTGGATGGCGCGTTCCTCACCGGGCGATAACATATCTCAACGCACGGTTGGAGCGGAGTGTGGGGTTGCAGAGCAGAAACTGGCAGAAGAGAGAAGAGGAGAATAAAATGGTACTATGCTGGATTTCTGAAGATAAGGAATGAATTAGAGAAGAGAAAGATAGAGAGGAGAGAGAAAGATGAAGAGAGTGAAATTGTGCCGAGAGTGGGAAGTGGGTGGATTAATCGGAGACTCACATTCAACCCACGGTGGTGGAAGTAGTGCCTGCAGGCAGATTCAAAGCAAGCATGAGGTCAGCCAGATAATCATAGAGATAGTGAGGCAACAGCCAAGATGCTTTCTTTTTCTGCTGGAGAAGAGAGAGATACGAAGTACAGGTGAGGCCGGGGTAAGAGGGGGAAAAAGAAAGAAGAAAAGATGATGCTAGTGACGGTAATTACTACGGTGACAATACCGGGGGTGAGGCCGCAAGGAACCGGGGATGATACGTGTAATACAGATACAGCCCTGACCCCGATATCAAACGGAAGACCGAAAGGATATGGGATTTACGGAGTACGGAGTATGGAGTAGATTAGAACAGAAAGACTTATTTGCAATGGAAACGGTATCCCTGAGTCACAACTCTGATAAAGCCCCCATGGAGTAAGACTGCACTACTGGTAGATCTCCAACAGGGAGTCCGTCCACTCATAACACGCCGTTGCCTCACGTTCAACCCCGTGTCAATCTTCAGTTCCAAGACAATACTGTAAAACCCCGTTATAAGCAACTCCGATATAAGCAATACTCCATTATAAGCAACTGGCCACGCTGTCCAAATTACAACTCCATATAAAATTGCTTAATACTCCATTACTAGCAAGTTGCTTAAATTCTCCCCTCCTCCAATACAAAATTGCTAATATAGGAGTAACCAAAATAGGCTATTTTGACTTCGTCCCTCCCTTCTGCAATGCCAAAGCAA